AAAAAAATAAAATAATACTTAGGAAGATATTAGAAAGCCAGGTCCGGGGGATAACCGGCTTCAGCTTTTGTAGTGCTGAGCCCTTTTGTTTAGGGAGTCATGAGTTCCAGCGATGATCCAGAAGACGATGAGCTGAGATAAAGTACACATTGATGGGTTTCCCTCTGTGGCCAGATGTGAGGGGGAAAGAGTTGTGTGGGTATATGTCAAAGGCCTGCTTTTCCCTAGTAGGTGTGGAGTTTCCAGAAGAAACAAACAGATCTTCTCATCGCCTTTTATAAGCACAGAATTACAAAGTTAGAAGAAGACATGCAGAAGACCCAGCAAACGGTGGCCAACCAGAACAAGTGAGTGAGAAATCAAGTCCCCAGATAACAGTTTGCTTTCAGAGAAATTGTAAACCTTACCTCCTATGGATGCACAGCCTAAAAACAGCTGCAAGTGTGTCTGTTCGTCTTAGGAAAGCCAAGGCAAGTTGTGGGTCCCCTCTTTCTTCCCCGAGGGACTCTCCTTACTCCCAGTTTTCTTGTTTTCTTCCCCACCAGCACTGCATCAGAGAAATCAGCCATAGCTTACTCATACATACAAAAATGAGAGATTACATTTGAAATAACTCTAGGAGGAAGTGTCTTGGAAATCTTAAGCAAAAATGATGGCATTTTTAAGCATTAGTAGGCAGATATGTGTGGAGAAGGAACACAATTCTATACACGCTCCCTTGAAATTACACTATTTAACTGCTTATTTTGTCTTCCTGGTTCTTTTCACCATCCAAACCCTGCCATTGTCTCCCTGAATCACTAGATGCCTAATAGAAGTACCATGTGGGAACCGATTACAGGGAACTGTGTGTGGCCTCCTCCCTGGGGGACAGACAACCGAAAAGTGGGTGAAGGGAGACGTCGGACAGGGCAAGATATGACAAAATACCCATTTATAAACTATCAAGGGCTCATGCGGGAGGGGGGAGCGGGGAGGGAGGGGAAAAATGAGGACCTAATGTCGGGGGCTTAAATGGAGAGAAAATGTTTTGAGAAACGATGTACAAATGCGCTTTACACAATTGATGTGTGTATGGATTGGGATGACCGTTGTATGAGCCCCTAATAAAATGTTAAAAAAAAAAAAAAAGTACCATGTGTAGATGCAAGGATCTCTTAGTAAGCATCCCTGAATGTTGATAATAATACAGGCAGTCCCCAGGTCATAAATGTCCAACTTACATAAAGCCGATAGCTATGAACTCCCTTAAAGTCTATTATATTAAAAATGTGTGGTACATACAATGGTTCATAATAACAAGTGCTCCTTTGCAACATTATTTTATTACTGTATTATGTTAAATTGTTTTTAACAAAATATTTAGCAAAAAATCTGGAAGTGTTTCTTTTTTTTATGCATATAACAGTACTCTATACACCCATTCCTCACTGGCATGGCAACGTTCCAAATATCCAAATGAACAAGTCATTATGTGAAAATCAGTGTTATATAAAAGTGAAAGATGACCATATCAGATCACAAAATGGAAAACGACTACATCAGTACCTAACTACCCAATTATACCTTATATAACTGCCAAATTACTTAATTACATAACTGCCAAACTACTGAGATTTATGACCCAGCCAAGTTGACATGTAACCTTAACTATCACAGCCAGTGTGACTCACACCTTCACCCTGCCATTTGTTACTGCCAGAAATACATCAGAAATGTGTGAAAGAGCTGGGCAATAGGTATTTTACTGTTGTAAATATGAAATGTTGGACAATGAGATAGTCAATAAATGAGGTAGTCAATAAGTATTATACAATATAATAAGGCCAATATTTGCCTAACTGACATTAGAGATGAACCATACCTAACTGTTCCTACCTAGGTACAAATTCGACGTAAAGACAGATTTAGGAATGGAATTTTTTCGTCATTCCTGAAACTTCCTATAATACTAATTCCTTTTTTAATCCCAATGACCTGCTGGAGCTTGTTTCCACCTTTACCTAGGGAACTCTCCGTCCTAAGGAAGGAGAATGGAGAACTGAAGAAGGTTGTAGCCATCATAAAGGTGAGTTAAATAGATTGTCCTTAGCTATTACATTCTCTTCTACTTTTCCCATCCACCTGGCTACCTGGGCACACATCACCTGTCCTTGCTAATTGGTTGATGCCTGTGCCCTCCTACCAACTCTTTTTATATCATGGTTTATATAGAAATGGATACTTTACAACCACCACACTGTGGTAGATGGAGAGGCCACAAAAGACTTGGAGGGCTGAAAGGGTCAATATTTTAGTATACTTGTAACCTGATCTTGAACTTTAGTGAGTCGTGACCTGCCAGGTGGGTAGATCTCTTTTAGAAGAGGCATCTGTTGCAACTTCATATTTCCTCTTCAAGAACCACCAGCTATCTCAGGAGGATGTCTCCATCACATTCTATTTCCGAGGCCTTGTCTACCTTCCTAAGAATGTTCTGTGTCATTTCCCCTCTGAGCTCATTCTTGTAACTATTCTAGTCCATTGTAATACTGTCCTCTGTTTCTCTTCAGCTTTCCCCAGGGAGTCTCCATATTTTCCATCTGTCAGCCTACAGGAATTCCCAGTGTGTTTTTGTGAGGAGGATGTAGAATTGTATTCCCTCAAAGCTAATATTTTCCTAATTGTTGGGGCGATGCCTACTACTATGTTTTATCTTATGGGAATCTTAGTAGTTACAACAAGGGAACATTGCAGCTTAGTTATCACCAAGAAAGGCTGGGATCCAGTCATGAGGTCCCTAGATGTACAGTTCCCTTCATTCCTTTTCTCTCACCTACAGGAATCTCCAAGTCAGTACCACGGCAGCAGGTCAGTTTTATCAGGCTTCATACTCACAGGAAAGGTTTGTTCCTTTCTGACTCCTGGTTGTAACTCCTGGGTGGGCTCTGAGAGAGGGGAAATGGCTGATGGATTGTCTTGTCTTTCATTTCGCTGAGAAAGAGTTGTCCACTAAAAAGTTCTATAGTGAAATCTCAAATGTAATTCTCATCCATGACCATGACCTTTAAAATTCAACCCACATGCCACTCTCTCTGTGAAGACTTCATAGGCAGAGTTACAGGTTCTGTGAGAGTCCCTGGGTGGTAACTTGTCCCAGGATCCAAATAGTTAAGCACTCAGCTACTAACCACAAGATTGGCAGTTCAGACTCACCTGCAAGTGCCATGAAAACCCAATGGAATTCTGCTCCACCCCTAAGGAGTCAACAGCCACGGGGTTGGGTTCAGGTGTCCTCGTATGTACTGACCAGTGAATGATCAGTGCATTAGCTGCTGGGTTTACATCACCTGTCCTTTCTAATTGGTTGCTTCCTGTGCCCTACCAAAGCGATAACTGTTTTTAATATGGTCCTGCATTGATGGATAAAAGGAGACATAGCCCTTGCTCACACAAAAGTTACAGTAGTGTTCTTTCATCCTTCTGTACCCCTAATCCACCTATTACAGCACTCAAAGATGACTGATCCCTTTCCCCTCCCTACTAGCCCGTGAGCCTCTCCATGAGAGCAGCCTCTCTCCAGTGCCTTTTGTAATTTCAGGTGGATTCTAAATTACGGTTCAGGATTGAGAGAGTGAGGGAGGGAGTGGTGGCATATAGAATGGATGTTCAAATGGATAAATGTATGTTTGAGAGCGACTGATAAGGGAGGGAAGAAACTAGTGCAGTACTTGAAAACCTCTATGATGGTCAATAGAGAAGTAGAAAAATCAAGACTGTTGAAAAAAAAGGACACATACGGAAAAGTTGCCTGCATGTTTGGGAGCGATACCTATAGTATATGAAAGCAGGCGACTGGTGCTTAGAAAGGAAGCTTTTGTTTTTATAAGCAATTATTTGATTTATCCTCTGAGGTGGCATTTTGCTCATTAGCAAGAATTGAACTGCTTCTTTTTTTTCCCTTTATAGGGCAAACACACCTCGGCCAGTAGGCATCACCTCTCCATCACAGTCAGGTAGTGAGCTTCTTCCCCTCCCCCCACCCCATATATCTGTGAGAAGATATATATATATATATTATATATATGTATAGATCTTTTGGAAGATGATTTCAGGGACAATAATGCAATTTTTCTGGTCTTATGTGTGATATGAAATGATCGTACTGTCAGGTCCCCTGCATGCAAAGGCAGGCCAGCAGACTGCAGAGGCACAGTAGAGTGTGTTGTTGATGACAACTTTTTAGTCTGTACTTTTTTCTCTTTCAGTTACCCCACAACTCATTTCCAGGCATAGCAGCCAAGTGGTCAGGTGAGTAGTCAGCCTGCTCATCAACATTAAAACTGGGGGCAAAGTTAGAAAATGAAAGCGACCTCGAGGTGGCTGATATTGGGACTGAAGAGACCTTGTGGCTATGTAGAAATTTAACACCCATTTTTGTTATTTTTTTCCACCTTTTTCAGTCGGTCCTCCTCCATGGAGTCTATCCCTAACAGAATGGCTGCTTTGGGGATCCTGGGACAAGTAAGTAATCGTCACCTTGTCTCCCAGATTGGGGTTTCTAATTCTAAAGGATAGCTCAGGTTTACAGCAAGAATCTTAAACTTATATTGCTCTGGGCATAAACTCTCAATGCCACTGCTTGAGCTAATGCTTTAGCCATGGAGACCCAATGTCAGAAGCTGTCACAGCGACTGAATCTAGGGATCAAAGCAGTGGGAGTGTTCAAAGACTGAGTCAATGGTGCCCATCCATTTGGGAAGTGGGGTAAGGCAGGGCTCCTCCTTTGATTGGTGTAAACGAGGAGGGAATATGAAAGCCGAAGACGAGGGTATGTTTTCATTAATTGGTGCTTATTATTTGTCCAGCAGGGAAGCAGAGGCCTGCATGGAAGGAGCACTCCCAGAGACTCTTATACTGGTGAGGAAAAAAAGATGTCAGAAGCCCACATAGCCTGTTGATTTTACAACACATCCTCTAGTTGTCTATGCACAACATTCCACTATTCCACTCTGTTCACTCCAAATATATATTACACATTTCCAAACAATGATACTTCTGTTCTCAAACTGATAAGAGGTAAATAAAATATTAAGCCCTTAGGACATTAATGAAATTCTCCGCTCAGCAGAGGAAGGATAACTTTTGAATAAAATAGGTGACTTGGATTTTTAAACATTGCCACAAGGTGGCAGTAGAAGTTAGGGCCTAAAAGGCAGGTTAGCTCTAGACCAGTTATGTTAGCCTGAAGGCTATCCCGGCTTCTTCCTTGTGTATTGAACATAAAAATATTCAATGAAGAAATATTGGGTTCCATTCAATTTCTTGTCTCTTTCTCCTTGGAACTATTGCTGTTATTACTATTTTCATGAGTATTAGCCAGTCCCTGGAAGTGCTGTCAGGTAAGCATTGGACCTCTGACACTCAGGTTGCTGGTTCAAACCCACTAGCAGTTCAGCAGGAGAAAGAGAGGTTGTCTGCTCCTGCAAGCATTCACAGAGACATAGAAACCCCACGGTAGGGTTGCTGGGGATGGAATGCATTCTCTGGCAGTGGCTTTGGTTTGGTAGTTTGGTTTGGTATCACCAGTCCCCAGAGAACACTTAGCAGAGAGGGTTTTAAAAAAAAACAAAAAACAAAATCCTATTATTGGGGGCTTGCACAACTCTTATCACAATCCATCCATCCATCCATTGTGTCAAGCACATTTGTACATTTGTTGCCATCATCATTTTCAAAACATTTTCTTCTAAAATCATTTTATTGGGGGCTCATATAACTTTTTTTCATCATTTTATTGGGG